CGACTGGGCACACTGGGATGCTCTGGCAAAAGGACGCTTGCTGCGTCCCATCCTGACCTCTTGGACATCGCGTTCCTGGCCTGAGAACAACGTCTGCTCCCTTGCAGGCAAGCACTGGGCTCATGCCACAACAGTTCTAAACCACCAGATATATTTTACTGTACATTACAGTACAGACTGCTCTCATTAATACTTTTAGCATCCTGTAAAACAAAAATCACATCTACCGAGGAGGCAGGCAGGCTCCTCCTGAGGATGCTGTCCCCTCCATGGAGGGCCAGGCTGGTCCAGGAAAGCTGGCTGAAGGCAAGAAGCTAATTCTCGTACAAAACTCCAGAGAGACTCAGTTGGAAGAATGTCTGGGAGGTGGGAAGCTGACCGACCCCTCTCTGGACCCGGCGGGAGGGCAGGGGCGGCAGGGACGGTCCTGTGCGAGCAGCCGGAGGGGACAGATGGTCCCGCTGCCCGGCCGCTCGGCTGGGCTCTGCCGCCGTATGGAAAAACCAGAGCGTGAGCTCTGTTTGTTAAGGGAATAAAACCTGGCCTTTGATATGTGTGGCTGTATTTCAACGTGTGCTTTCCCAGCGCGTGGTTATTGCTGGTTCTAATGGGCCCAGCTACTGCATCCTCCCAGGGAGCGCGGTGCCCTGCAGGCTGGCCCTGCAGCCTCCTCTCCGGCCTCGTTTCAAGGCTTTCCTTCTACAGCTTTCCCTGTTTCACTGAAATTGCTGTTTAAATAAAGGAGTTCTTTGCATGTTTTTTTGCCTCACAGCTCCACACGCCTGACCCTCTCATTGCTGATGGAGCAAGCAGGAGGAGGGAGCAAACTTCCTTCTTTCCTTCTGCTGCTGCTGGACAAGTGACCTGCATCATTAAAAACCCTCCTGCATCCCAAAAAGGGCATCTTTTGCAAACTGCCACCCTATTTATGTAGCTGTTTCAATTCTGTGAAGCATTATGCTTTAAAAATACTCCCCAGTGTGATTTCTGTTGCATCTCCAGCAGTTGCAACATCCCTGCAACGCGGTGACTGCAAATTCAAGGCAACTCGGGGCCTCTGAGGGTTGGGATTCGGAGCATTGCAATTCAAAGCACAAGGTGCTATTAAGAAGAGAGCTTTTGAAAGCAAGGGATGCATTTCAAGGTCTCCTTTCTAGGCAACTGCTGCCAGGATTGCTGGTGTTTGGTAAAAAGCACGGGGCACAAGATTGCCCGCAGAAAGCACATCTGTCAGAAGAGGCTTGGGAGTGTGCAGAAAGCCAGCGGTGAGGAACGCTTTGGCAGGCATTCTGGAGACAAAAATCTACACAAGGCCATCAAGCAGGAGAAATAGTAGTGTTTAACACTGGAAGCATTTCATCCTTCAAACGCCAGCCTTTGTCAGTGAATCCTCACGACTCTCGTGTGAGGGAGGGACTGTCAGCAGCAGCAGCTGAAATGAAGCTTTAGACCTACAATATGCCAAGGAAAAGGAAAGAAAAGGCTCCATCTGTCAACATTTCCTCCTCTCTTTCTCCCTTTTCTCCCTGTGGCGCTCCAGCCGTTGGTCACCACCAATGTGCCGGCAAAAAGCAGAGCTGGGGAAGGGCTGGGGAAGGAGGATTTTGGACCTCCTGGCCGGCACAGCCAGGCACGGTTTGCCTGAATCCAGCCTGCAGCGTGGCACAAGTGACCGAGCCAGCACCAGTGACTTGGCTGCATTTGGTAGGGTTTGGGGTTGAGTTAATTTCAATTGTCTTTACCAAAATATTCCCGTGTGCTTTATGCAGGGAACTCCTGAAGCCCTGGTTTGGTGCTGCCTTCGCTGGGAACAGCCTCTGTTACCTATTTTCTTGGATAAAACGTCACCCACAGCAAGAGGTGGGAACAGAAAAACCTCCAAACTCCCAGTGCTGCTGACCAAACCCTTCTGGAACAGCCTAAAAAAGATCTCTGCGTCCTCCCAGCTCATTCCCTGCCCGCTCTGTGGCACAGGCACCATCCCATTGCCATCATGCACTGCCCTGAAAAGTAAAGCGAGGGACTGGACTCGTTTAGTGATCTCAGCCAGCAGCCAGCTTTTACACGGAGTAAAATGACCTCTGAGATGAGCAGAGGGTACACAGGCAGAAGGCTTGGCTTGGGGGCAGGGGAAGTTTGGTGGGGATGGATCTGAGTCCTGCATTTTTGTTTTTCACATCGCCTATTTATGCACTGAACTCCTCCTCCTGCAGAAACAAGCAGGTTGGTTGCATTTTCCTGTCATTCCCTTGGCTTTAGTCTCCAGGGACTGGGGGGTCAACACACACATCCGTCTTTTCAGGATTGGGGCATGTGCCTGGTCCCTTCCAAGGACCCAGACGACTGGGCAGGTGCTTCCCTCTGAAAATCCTTCCTTTGAACACCCTTCCCGTTGGCTCTGAAAATCCTAAACTGAACGAAACCCACACGGGCGTTGTGGCCAGCATTCCTTTGGTTTATGGTTGTAAAGCAGGGTTGTGCTGACATTAAATGGAGCTGGGAGAAGGGCTGGGACCCAGGAAAAGGAGACGTGTGGGAGGGATGCAGTGTGTGGAGCAGAGGGGCTCCTGGCTTTGCTGGCTGCCCAGCTCTTTGTGGGAGCTGATGCCCCCAGACATGTTTTAAGGCTGAGAAGGTGAAGAGAAAGGTGGCTACCCCCTTGGGCCAGAGCAGGGGAGGCAGAGACCTGGTGTTATTGCTGTTAGTGTGCAGCACAGCAGCAGTGGGTCCTCACTGCACAACTAAATAGAGTGTTATGATCGAACGCTATCTAGGGGGTTACTGACACAACTGCCAACCAAGCTGGGCTGGGGAGGGGGTTAAATGCCACCCCATTCTCCTCCACAGGCCTCCCCTCTTTGCCCCCTGGGGCTCCTGCTCCCTTCCCTGGCTGGGGTTTTGCCATGCATGTCCCACAAACACTGTCCCAGCAGAGTGCACCCTCCGATGGGAACACTCCTCTGCCTCCCAGGTGTCCTTCTTTTCCCATCCTCGCTGCTGCCTCAACCCATCTCATCTCCCTTCTGCACCTTCTGACCCAAACACCCCTCCAAACCTCTCTGTCCCATGCCACCGTACCGACTCCTTCCCCTGCCTCCCCTTGCCTTTGGGCTGTGCTGCTCTCACACCACCCCTCCTAGATGGGCACAGCACAAGAAGAGGTATTGTCACTCTCAGGCATGGCACTGGAGAAAAGTCAGACCTCCAGGGACCTGCAGACATCCCCAGCCCGGGCTGCCACGAGAGGACAGCTGAACTTGGGGCTTGCATGGGAAGACTCGGGCTTTCCAGGACCATGGATTTTTTTGGAGAGGCAGAGACGAGGCAGGGATCAGTGCTGACCCAGGTGCCATGCCCAGCGGGACCTTGGAGGCGGCTGTCTTATCCAGACACCAAACAAGCCTTGGGGGTGGAGGTGTAAGGGTCCCTCCACACTCCCAGAGCTGACACCCCACCTCTCAGACTCCCCTTCCCTTCACCCCAACAGCACCCAGAGCTCTCGGTGACGCCAGATGCATGGCCACACATACCCCAGCCCAGCTGCACTTGTCCTTCCCTCTGTGCCCCCACATTTTGCTGTGCCGGGTGCTGCCCTTGCCCTTTTCACACCTCTCCCCTTGCTCTTCCTTTCTCCCTTCCCTCTCTTCCTTGCACTTTTCCTTCCTACACCATCACTTGGCACAAATCAGCTTCCTGAGCCTTTCCTTACCACTACATAGCCAGTATAAACCTCTTGCTATAGGTACTGGTAAAGAGATGCCCTGACTGGACATGCCAAACCTGGAGCTGTCTCTCCTGGCTGCCCAGGCAGGAGATGACACAGACAAGCTGCCTCCTCCTGCTCGTGGCCCAGAGGGCAAGGTGAGGGCTTCTCAAGGCTGTTTATATACCCGAGATGCAATAAGGAGCTGTGAGGCTCCCGCACACCCCACTGTCACCCAAGCATGGTGACGCTTCCCAAAGCACCCCTCTGCATTTCAGGTACTTGAAAGTCAAAGAAGCCAGGGCTAAATGTTTTTGGTGCACCCTGGCATTTTAGGGCCAAAGTTTGGAAAGAGACGCTGCGTGTTTGCAGGAGCATCACTGTGCTGAAATCACGAGGCTGGGAGGTGCTTTGGGAAAGGCCAAAAGTGCTCAGGTCCCCATCAAGACCTCATCCCCGGGGCATCCTCGCTGCCTACGCTCCAGGGCTCCAAGCCCAGCAGCTCCGTGGCATCCAGCAAAGCGCCCCAGAAAAGGGGTTACCGAAACCACGAGACGAACGTCAACATTAACGCTGAAAAACCTGAGGTAAAACTGTTACTGGTAACGAATGCTTTCAGAGAAGGCTTAGTAGGTTTTGTTACTGTGTCCCTCTTACTCAGGCACCAGCAGAATGCGACAGGACTGTTTTCACTTGTTCAAATAGCTGGGGAAAAAGGAGAACGTACAAATTCAAGCTGTGTCGGCTACGCCCGGCCCCTCCGGCTTTGGGTTGGGAACTGGAGCCGTAAGGTACCCTCAAAATGATTAAGTTGTATCTAGAAATTCCTAAAGGAATAGTGTTTTTTTTTAAAAAAAAAGATAAATAACAGGAGAATTAAAAATATCCCTTAATTTCATATTTAAAAAAAAAGCTTTCAGTTCCAAACTACACTGCTGCTGACCAGTATTTTAAGGCTTTGTTTTCTTAAATTCTTTTTAAAACTGAAGTATTTTTGTCTTTTAGCGGCTGAAACGCACTTTGTGGGGAATGCGTTAGCTCCCTCTACAGCGCTGTGAATTGGAACGGAGGAGCTGAACAAGGCAGCAAGGGAATGCACCAAAAAGAAACCAAAATAAAACAAAACAGGGCTGGGGAAAGCAGAACTCGCTGCAAAGTTTTCTGGGACAAGAGGAGGGATTTAAGTATTTCTTCCTCAGCATCTTCTGAGGAGGAAAAAAAAAAGAGAGAGAGGACCTGTCCATGGGACCAGAGGATGCTCCTGGCTGGTGTGAGGAGAGGAGGGGAGGAGAGGGCTTTAGTAGAGTCCACAGCCCCGCAGGTTGTTGGCGATGATGACATCCGTGACGGCGTCGAAGACGAACTGGATGTTGTTGGTGTCGGTGGCGCAGGTGATGTGTGTGTAGATCTCCTTGTTGGAGGACTTGTTCTTGCTCTCGTACTGAGCCTGGATGTAAGCCACCGCCTCCGTGAAAGAGTTTGGGCCTACAAGAGAGCCAAGATGGAAGGAAAAAGAGCGGGTTAAAGCAATGCCGTAACCCTAAATCTGTAGGGTGCCCGCCAGCACCCCGCTGTAGGGACACGGGGAGCTTGTATGGGGGTGCTGCAACCCAGCTGCCCCATCTCCATCTCGGGGATGGGCACCATTACCACCAGGATTGCTGCAAGGGAGGAGATCCTCTCTGACTGTCAGCTCAGCTGTATGTGTATCCTGGGTTGGTGTTCATAGTCTACAGAGATGAAGTGGATGAGGGAACTGAGTGCTGAACAGGCTATGATGGGAAAACCAGGAGAAATTCCCCATCATGTTGACAAAAAAAGGAGAAGAAACCTGCTGGGAATGTGGTAAGTGCTTGACCTGGGGGAAAGGCTTAGTTTTTTTTCCTTTTTTAGTTTTTTTTTGATTAAAGTTTCAGCTTTTGATGGAAAAGAATTGAGGGCAGTATTGGTAACTGTGCCCTCCTTTCCCTGAATTGCTTAAGAGAAAAGGACATGAAAAGATCCAACCCCTCTTACAGGGCAAAGTGGGCTTTTCTCAAAAAAAAAAACCCCAAAAAGCTAACCCAAAATGTCCCTCTTTTTGCAGAATTAGGACTGCAGTACCCTCTGCTGAAGCCGTGGCTCAAATCACACCACGAGGCGTTTCTTGTTTCGATGTCCAGAAATGTCTGTGCCAAACCTTATTAACCATCAGGTTTTGTGTCAAAAAAGTCCTAAGAGCCATCGCACAAAAGCGCAGATCCTTTCTCATCTGGGCAGTCTTGATGTTGCTTACACACACACACAGACAGCTCATCACCTTCCACGATGCTTTGCTGATGGGAAATGCTGTTACCTGCCAGAGAGAAGCTTTCTTGGGCTTGAGATTCGCCGTGGTTGAAGGCCGCTGATCTGGGAAATCACTTGCACTTAGATGTACACTCATCGCTATTTGAAGACACAAGCTCACGAAGGCCACGAGACTTGAGAATACGCTTGAAATAAGACAAGCCAGATGTGTTCTGGGAGCAAGCTCTTGCATGAAGACCTGTGTAAAGGATTTGGGAGCAGATCCACATGCTGCACACCACCTGGAGGGTATTTTACGGGAGGGAAGTTGGTTGTTCAAAGGCATGAGGGTTTTAGATGCTGGATTCCTTCTGGGAGAGCAGGGAATCACTGATGCCAGCTTGGTTTAAAACATGCTCCGGATTCTGCTGCTGCTTCGCTAAGTATTGTGGATTAGTTAAAAGCATGAGTGAATTAAGGAGATGGAAACAGTCAGTGCTCCAGCATACAGCAAGCAAATTTGTGGATGCAGCCTTCTAATAATTCTCTGCCAGCAGAACTAATGGACATCAGAAACTTCATTTTATTAAAAGCATTTTGTGGAACCGACTCGTGGTGTTGAAAGTCCACTTGTTTGATTTATAAGCTTTCATCAGGTAATCCTTTTTAAGTCCAGGGCGACTTTCTAATAGTGCTGCTTTTTGACAAGGCCACGAGGGCTTCATCCTCCGAGCCGCGGTCAGCAAAGCAGGGGTGAGCGTGCTTAAGTGGCTGCTCGGGTCTAAAACGTGGGCTTAACGTTAGCACGAGCACTTCCACAGTTTAATGGCACTGCTGAGTGCCTGGGAGCGAGACATCCTTCACCTCTGATGCAGGTCCCTGCTGGAGCAGTGGAAGGACTTCCAGCCTTCAGACTTGCAGCCCTCTCTGATGGCACGAGAGAGAAAAGAGGTCTGTGGAGGCTCCCTGGCATTGTGATAACTCCCAGCTTCCAGAAGAGCACCTCAAAGGAACTCACGGCATTTTTGGGGTACTCTGAGATGTGGGGAGCGCTGGTTTGGTTCACTTGGGGCTGAAGTGCTCCAGAAACAAGCTGTATTTATTTTCCTCTGTGTAAGTCAGCTGAGAGCTTAGCTACATGTGTACGAGGGTCTGCCTCCCCCACTGAACTCCTCTCTCAGGCTGGGAAGGCTTGGGAAGGAAAAGTTATGTCTAAAATGACATCCCCTCTTGTTCCAGTCTCTCTGCCTTTAGGGATATTACTTCAGAGTGGGGTTCTTGGGAGACTTCAGTGAAGAGCCACAAAAACTGGTCCACAAAAACGTGATCAGGAAGGAGTGAAAGGTGCAGGTTTGCTTCATGGAGAAAAGGGAAAAAGGAAGAAGGCATGATAGAAATCTCCCAGTATATAGAAGTGCTGCTACAAAGAGGATGGTGATGGGCTGCTCGACAAACCATCCAGCAGTCCAATTGGCACCCGGAAAAATCTGGGGTTGGCACTACTGTGAGCTTTCAACTGTAAAGACTGTGAAATTTCCATTATTAGATCCTTTTAGACAAACGTGTCGGGAATACGTTGGTTGTGTCTGGACGAAGCAGATGAGTAGACGGCTGAAATGTGTCGGCAGCGACAAATATGCAAACCTTCCCCGGAGAGGAGGCCTGCAGATGTTCTTCTGAATTCAGACCGAGTCGCTGAGCGCCATGGCCATAGACCATTCAGCCCAAAGCAGCAATGATGGATCGCTTTTGCCTATTCACAGTGAAAAACCAAGTGCTCAGAGAGAGGAAACTGGTTAATAATTTGTTGGCCTGCCCAGAAATGTGACACTCTTGGTACTCCCGGTTCACAACTATGTTTCCTGACAAAGACATCTGCCTCTCTGTCTGTTGGCTTGATTCATCTGGATGTCTCCGGTGAGCTTAAATAATTCATGATGATAAAAGTTTATTTTTATGCTGTCTCGGAATGGTAATGAGGGTTTGTGGAAGCTGGCGAGATGCAGCGGGAAGTGGCAGGGTGCAGCTGCAGCCTTTGCACGGGTGATGTGTTCTCATCAGCAGCAGGTCAGATGCCAGCAAAAACAAGGACTTCTTGCAAGCAGCCTTGTTGAAAAGCCTCTGCTCTCATCTCCAAGTATCATTAAGGTCTCTTTCTCCCCAGCCAAGCTCAGGGCAGGGCTTGCTGTGGCTCTTGCCTGGCTGCACTCTGGGTTAAGAGGTGTGGGTGGCCAGCGCACAAGAAAATCAAGCGCCTTGTTTTCAATCTGCATTTGACTGGAAGCGTTTCCATGTCTGGATGCTTGGTGTCAGCGAGCCTGAGAGGGAAACTGGGCACCTCCTAAACTACCGTGATAAAAATTCACAGCCTTAGCTGAAGCAGCCAAGCTGTGGGACCTGCTGTCTGCGTGCTGGTGCCTGGCAGGACCCACAGAGGGACCCTCGCTGTGGTCAGCAAGGACCACAGGGAATGAGATGGGTTATGAGACAGCAGACTCCAGCCGAGGACAGCCTAACACAGCCCGTGTGTTGGTCTCCCAGAGACCAATTACCCGTTTGCGATGGTGAAGCTCACTGTGTCTCTGTGAAAGACCTGCGGGAGGGTTCGTGTTCCTGGGCAATGCTGGGAACCAGCACGGCTTCAGGAGTGTGCTGCCAGCCCCACACCTGCAGGTGCTGGCTCGGCGTCGAAACCGCCGGTGGGGCAGAGATCAAGCACCCCAATTAGTGGGGGTGGCCCTTTGCTGGCCCAGAACTTGTGTTTAAGTCATCCTCACTCTTTAAGTGGACCACTAACCACGGTGGGGGTGATTCTATGGCATTTATAAAACTTGCAGGGGAGAGAAGGGGAGCTTTAGCTCTGCATCTTTAGCCTCGTTGCCTGCACTACATGGCAGTATCAGCCTGGATGAAAAACGCTCCGTGGTCCCTTTGCTATGCATTCCTGTACAGCCAGCTTTCTCATTACCTGTGTACTCTGGAAAGCAGATAGTCAGTGGGGATTTCTTAATTTTCTCCTCAAATATGTCCTTCTTGTTTAGAAAGAGGATGATAGATGTATCTGTGAACCATTTGTTGTTGCAGATGCTGTCAAAAAGCTTCAGTGATTCGTGCATGCGGTTCTGCAACAGAAAGGAGAGATCCCATCAGGCCAAAGGCAGCGACCCGGGGACGCTCAACATGTAGGGAAAACAACTAAATTAAGGAGGAAAACGAAAAAGAAAAGCTACAATATACATAATAGATTTATGTATACACAGAGCTGAACATATACGTACACAGATGCAATCTCTATGACATCTGACATACACTTAGTGACTTAAGGGCATTTGGCTATACAGAGCTGTTTTGATTTTGCATAGCGTGTAATTTACAGGATCCCAGCTCACAGAAATCATCATGCACCATGCATGGATGGGGAGTTACTTCAGCCCTTCGATCAGACTGAGGTGTCGGTGAAGCTCATGCAGATTTTCTAAATGGTTTTAATTAATTTTTTTCAATTTTAACAGTTTTGGTTTGTTTTTTTTCACTTTCTCGAGCGTGTGTGGCACACAATTGGTTGGATACATTAACCAAGGACTGGCGGATCCTTGAATTAATCTAGAGTTGGAAGCAGACACCAAGGTGACACAATTTTGGAAATGACCTTGCCGTGACCTTTGCCTGGTTTTGTTACTTCGTTTAGTGGTGCTGTTGGGCTTTTAATTGTTTTAATTTATTGGTTTAGTTCTCTTGGAAGATGGCTCAACAGAAAGTGTCTGGCAGAGAGGGAAAAAAAAGTGCAAAAGGAGGAGGAAATAGTATAAAAAGGGGAAAAAACGTAAAGAAGGGCATCTAAGAACAACCAGAGTGGGAGTCAGGCAGCTACCACGGACGTTAGCTCATGCCTCTAGAAGAACGTGAGCTGCTCGCCAGCACAAGAGCCATATGTTCGAATGCACGCACAGCGAGAAGTCAGCTTCTTGGTTATGGATCATGCAGAAAAAAAAACCAGACAGGAAAGGAGAGAGATAAAAGGAACGAAAAAGAAAGACCAGTTAGAAAGCTGCAAAGTCCGCCACAGGGTTTTATGGTGGTGGAAAGAGCTCACGGCAAAGTCAACCAAATGTCATGTTCCCTGCTGCTTTCAACTCTGTTTTTTTTTTTGTTTTTTGCTTTTTTCTCGGTTCAAGAGAAGCTTCATACCTGCCAAATTTGGTTGGTCTCTCAAATGCTCATTTTTTGGCCTTTGTTTGGCTAGATAAGGTCAGACGGCCGAGGAAAAGCTGCGGAGGCGCCGAGGCTGGCGATGTCCGGCACGCGAGGCCGACGCCGGGGCGCGCACGCCGGTCGCGTGGCCGTCTCTCAGCCGGGAGCCGGGGAGCGCGGAGAACAGGCGCGGTGAGGACGAAGCACACCCAAGAGTCAGGGGGTTATCAAAGGCAAAGCACGGCACAGGCCGGACCGGCTCCTCGGCTTTTCCCAGAGGCATCTCCTGGGGACAGCACCCCCCCAAACCCGCTAGCGCACACACGAGACCAGTTACAGCGACCGCAGGAGAGACGCTAGAGACAAGAGGGCTGCGCCGTCTCGTTGCTGGAGGGGTTTTTTTGGGGTGGGTGCAGTGCGTTCCCCACCAGGTTTGGGAATTGGGAGCGGTGCAGGAGACAGCAGGGGGCTTTCACCTCTCTCCTGCTCCGTTTCACACCCGCGCTGGCAGCATCATTGAGGCCAGCACTTTATTGATCAACGCTTGCCTTTTCACAGATACGTTTTGGCTGCTGCTGGATGATTTATTTAGATACAAGTGGCTCTGTGGATGAAGGAAGCATCCGATCTGACCCAGAGTAAAAACAGAACGCGTGCGATTTGCTGCACCGATAGCACACGCTTCGTTACCAGACTGGGAATGACCGAGCAGCTCCCCACCGTGCATCCTATCGACGCACGGGGAAGACACGATCACGTACCAATGTAAAAACACATTTACTTATTGGGTCTCAGCTGCAAGATGTTGCTTATCTGGACCATCCCATGTCTGCGTGCTGTTTTGGGCTAACTCCTTTTGTACTGGTTGGTGTGGGAGCCCCGGAGCAAAGCTCCTCTTCGCTACTTGTGGTGTCAAAAGTGTAACCATGTAGAAACCTGCAAAGGTTTTAGTACAGGAGATCCTTGGCTACCCAAAGCCTTCGGGAGCAGAGGAGAAAGTGGAGGGTGGTCAGGGGAACAGAAAGCAAATATAATTAACCGTTGTTTTAAGCAGAGTCCCTCAGAGAACATTTTTTAATGACATTTTGATCACTCTTACTGATTTAAAATAAAAGCACAGAGAAACACATGGACGCTGCTCGCGGGTCAAAGCAATAGCTCATCTGCAGCAGCCGGCCTTACCACGCTGCACCTCGCCAGCCCTGGACCACGCTGCACAGCCCCAGCAGGGAGCAGCGGTGCGTGGCTGCACCTCACGGCGCGGGAGGCACCATGGGGACACGGGTTTTGGTTAAGCAACAGAAGCTGAGGACTTCTCCTGAGCCGGGCTTTGCAGTTGGGAAGGGCTCTTGAAACACCGGCTTCTCAACGTCACTTCCTATTTCAAAATCAGCATTTGAAATCCTTAATGCTTGCAAATACTTCATACCCCGATGGGGAAAGCAGCCCCATCAGCCACGTTACAGAGGAATAACCACTTGTCCGTTACGAATTAAAAGCCCAGTTAACTTTTCCTGCGCAGGATGAGACAGAATTGCTTAGAGCTGAGTTCAGATGTCGCTCCACAACCGCGTTCCCATCGTGGATGTGAAGGGCAAGCAGCTTTCTACTGAGCGTGAGGGAGAAAGGATGCTGCGGTCAAGACTCGGAAACACACTCACAAAACCCATCTTTTTTCACCAGAGCATGGGAGGAGACCCGGTTATTTCTGCAGCACAGAGTCGATTCAACCTTTTTTTCTCATGCAAACTATAAGGACGCTGACAGTTATCCTAAGCACAGAAACTCCATATCCCCCCTCTGGCTGATATTTCCTAAGATGCCCAAGCCATATCCACTTGCTCTGTCACTCCTAAGGCAATTTCTGAACTCTGCAATTCAATTTTCCTTGCCCAATGGCAGCAGAGAGCACGCTAACCAGGTCATGCAATGAAATAGGAACCAACAGGCCAACACTAATGCACACCAAGGGTCACCAGCACAGCGCCTTCAACCCATCCCATGCTCAGCCACGGGGACATGAACAATATTTGTGTGTCTTGGCTAGATATGGATGACCTAAATATCTTCATTTCAGAGGCGGCAATGTGCAGCACGAACATCTCCCTCTCTTGCCATGACTCCTTTGAATTTGTGAGGAAAAAAAAACCAGAGGACAGTCATGCTTCCCCCGACAGGTCTCATGCCATCGCTGCCTTTTAAAAATCCCACTAGGAATTCAATTCAGAAGGAACAACGTAAATCCACATTTGCTCATAATCTTCTCCAGTTTTACCAATAAATATGACTGCTGTCCCCCTCCCAGGTTACAGATCTGAGGCTTTTAGTTGTCTGGGGCAATGGGAGCGGCTGGGTTCAACAGCACTGGGGGTTTCTATGCAGTCTCTATGGGTGTATGGGTCTAGAAATCACAGATGCAGAAATTTTTCTTTATTTTCTTTATGTCTTTCTGATCTGGACATAGGAAAGCACTTGCCTTCCTTGACTCCCACCACGTTGGTTTGTGTGGCAGGGAACTGTAGAGAAAATATATCCCTTATGAAACATTACCTGGTCTCAGGGAGCGATGGCTTAGCACACCACAGCCCTTTTTAGCTGCTGCAGGAGCATGGGTGCTCAGTAATTTAAAGCAAAGAGCGCAACACACCACAAAAATACTTAATGAGCATAGAGCTGCGCTTTACTTTTAAGGGCAGGGCCAGGTGAGGAGGTGCTTTACCCAGCCTTGTCTAACCAGCTCTGTGCTCAGCCTCCTCTGAAAGGATTCACAGCAAACCTGCTGTTCGTGAGCCTTTTTCAGCGAGACAAGCCTACAACCACACCAGGCCCATCGCCCTCACGCTAACTGAGCTTAACAAGGCGAGCCCCTGCTCCATGGCAAAGTCTGGCTTTATTCTGACTGCAGCTTCACCCACCTGAAGCGTGGTTTGACTCGGAGAAGAGCAAAAGGCCCCTGTGAAACCCTGTGCACGTGGTCAACAGGGTGCTGAGCTGTTCTTCCTACGCACCCAGCTTCGCAAGCGGTTTTTTGGGCACCTGAGTTGCAGTGGGGCTTTTCCCCTCTCGTGGCTCCACACCAGCAAGGAAAGCTCGACAAGTCCTTCCATACCCACAGAGACATCTGTCCAGCCCAACAAACTTCAGTGCCTTAACACAGCTGGAAGTGCCCGGACCGCAGTAAGCATCTCTAGAGAATGAAGACAAGGAGCAGCATCCAGCTCGCTCTCTCAGCTGCCTCCTCTTTGTGTTTTCTAAGTGAGAAGCAATAAAAGCTGATTTACGTCATTAAAGCCAGCAGATGTGACGGATGCAGACAGACGGCAAATCAGCTGACCGAGGAGATGCTGCTTTTACTGCTGGCTTTTTGGAGAGGAACCGCGTTAGCAGGGAGGAGACCGAATGCTTGGGGGTTCAGCTGGGAGAGGGTCAGAGCCTGTGGACGCTGTGTTTTCCACCTGCCATTCGTGCTGGGGGGATAACGGGGCAGACAAGATCCCACAGCGTCATTTTTTTCCCCTGTTTGCATTGGCCTCACTCAGGGTTGTTTATTTGGGTTAGGCGGGGGCGATGCTGAATCCTTTCCCCGTTTACGCCGAATGTGTAAATGAACAGCAGCTGCCTCTGCCCTCCTGTTGCTCAGCATCCCCAGAAACGCTTTGTGAAAAGGGATTGAAATAGCAAGCAAATGTCAGCGCTGCGCCAGAGAGTGCAGCTCCAAATTCGCTCTTGCGCCCAGAAAGCGGTAGCAAGGAGCAAGGAGACCAAATTTGAGGCTGCACAAATCCCTGTTTCTGCAGCAGGGGAGGCTGAGCTGGCACCCTGCTCGTCACCGGGGTGGTACTGGGTGACAGGCAGTCACTGGCAGAGCTCAGCATCCCCAGGAGTGATGCTGTAACCTCCATCTCAGAGGAGCTGAGTTAAAGCTGACATTTAAAATGTGGTGTTGGCATTCAGGCCCTTCCATTTTGAGCTCCGTGGCTTTGAATCACACGCTCTGCCTTGTGTAGACTGGCACCCAAAGGTGACCTGGATTAAAGGCTGCCTTTGGCTTTGCAGTTTGGGTGTCACAGCCCAAGTTACACCTACAGAGCATCCTGCTCTCTGCTCAGATCACAGCTTTGCTCCCTGCTCCATGGGTATGCCCTCTTCCTGTGCGTACTTCTTTACCTCCTGGGTGTGCTTCCCCTGCCCAGCTGCAGAGCTCTATGGGGTTAAGCTAATGGGTGAGTTTCTTCAAATCATGTCATGGAGATTTTGGTTTCTTCCCAGTAAATCCTACAGGAGTGAGCATCCTTGAGCGTATCAGAGCCAGGGTCAGAGGGAGGCGACAACTGAGGATTATAAAGAAGCGGAGATGAGAGTGTGTGGGGTGTCTCAGTCAGTCTGGAGGGACACAGACATAATTTTATTATCACCCTGAATTCTGGCATTGATATGACCCAAACAACCAGGTGATGACTTCAGTTTGCCAGAGCTCATAAACCTGACTCAGAGGCTAGAAACTACAGCCCCCCCAGTCTTTTTGGGAAGAGATGACCGATAGCTAATAGCAATCGTTCCCTCAATTCATTCCTGTCAACAGCTTTCCGCAAGCCTGACATCTTTACCAGCAGGAGAACGGAGACCCTGAGAGAGACAGAGCTGGGAAGTGACCCCTCCACGCTGCTGCAGACTGGGCGCAGGTGAAATCATTACCAGGTCTGAGTATGGCCTCCTTCCTTTTCATTAGACAAATGCAACTGGGTGCCTGCTGCAGCCGCTGTTAGTCTCAAAAGCATGCATCCCCATCACACCAAATGAATGGCCAGAATACAGTAATGACTCTTCTTACATCCTTTCTGTGAATTTAATTCACTTGTATTAATTGCACTCTAATGCCAGGGAGCACACAGCTCCTCGCTAGCTTTATTTCCAGATGGTATTTTGAGCCTAATGTCACAGTGGGAAGTCATAAAAGCTCTCCTAGAGCAAATTACCTGAGGAATCAAACAGTTCCAGTCTCACTCAGGAAAATGAATTTCTGTAACCCGAAGAAATAGGTTATATCCCTAACCCGAGCCTGCCTCAGGCATGCAGGGCTGCCCTGCACCTCTGCACCATGGCATGACCGCTTCCTTCGTTTTGTTTTTAAAGCCCACCTTGCTATATCTCCTCTCTTTCTGGATACAGAGTCTCGTTAACACATTTTGGAAACACACAGGTCAGCTAGAAAGGAGAAATAAAACACCGCGACTTTACCAGTGCAAATAAGCGTTACCTGGGCGTGCAGGACTTGATTTTGAAGACTGTGGAGGAGGACAAATCTCCCCAGGATTTCAGAGTCAAGGGGCAGTGACTGACAAAAGCACATTACTGTAGCACCCCAGTGAGCATTCGTTGATGTCTGAGGAGTTGCTGGCTACGAGGTATCCCGTAAAGAAGTGTCGGGGTCCCCAGGACCCAGTTAGACTCACCGTGGTTTCATCTTCATGGAGCACCTGGTCGTAGCCACTCAGCGCGACGCAGAAAATGATCGCTGTGACATCCTCAAAGCAGTGAATCCACTTCTTGCGTTCCGACCGCTGGCCCCCGACATCAAAGAGCCTGCGGCACAGGAGAAGACCATCAGTGCCCGCTTGCTTTTAATTACGAGGAGACTTTAGCAGCCTTGGCATTTTCTGACCGTATGGTCCCTGGAAGGCTCCAAACACCAAGCAACAGGTCTTTCACCACTGGCTTGGTCTCCTCCAGAGCCCGGAGCTGAGGAGGACCAGGAAGAGCAGCTACAGGCAGAGATCCTCAGCACCACGCTGGGTCCCCAGGGGTCTGCAGAGGTGGAGACCATGCGCTCTTAAGTTTTATTCGCTCTAAATACTGCATATGCAGCTTTCCGTCTTGCCCTTTTCTCTCTGCTGGCTGGCAACACGAGGGTCAATGTACAGCATTAGCACATTTAGACCCGCTTCAGAGAAAAGATCTGGCCAAATATTTTCACATTTATAGCTTGGTCAGACCTGGGGCCAATCTCACACTATACCGCCCAACAAAGTGGTGTCATCTGGGTTAGCAGAAGGTACCATGGCCTCCTCTCTTAAAGACAGGGATTTTCAAGACAAGATTGCCAAACGATCCATGTTGTTGACCCCCCAAATGTCATGTCCTCTGCAGTGAGAGCCATCCGTGTGTTAACCAGCAATTTAACACTGTCTCCTTTGGGAGCTATGGGGAAACCCTATGACAAACAGATGCCCTAAAAATTGACCGGTACATGCAGTTTTAGACTAACCTGAAGTGGAGGTTTTTGAATGTGAAGTGGGTTTCTACAATGCCAGTTGTTTTGACCCTGGTTCGGAGGATATCCTGCTCTGTGGGCTGGTAGTCTGCAGCTCCGATCCGATCTAAGCTGTCTAGGTAGCTAAGAAAGGGAAAAGAAAAAGAAAACAGATAAGAATAAGACACATGTTAATCTTTGTCAATCTCAGATGAATCCTTCAGCTTCCTATTAATCTTTTTCAATCTCATTTTTCATGGCTGAATGTATTGCAGCAAAAACAAAACCAACCAAAAAATCCTATTCTGGCCAACAAGAAACGTTAACAAAGCCCACTAACCTAAGTATAAAATCTGATAGTGAACTGAAAGCAGGAAATTAAGTGCGCATGTGTCGCGAGCCCCGATTGCAATCTGTGAAAACACACAGTGTTAATATTACTTGCTATTTTTACTCCCTGAGGGATGAAGGTCCCAGTCGGTCCATTGTGGCAATGCTGTACACACACAGGCTTTTCTGTGAGGGTTTATTCAGACGAGGGGTTGGGGCATATAGGTCTTGCTCCCAGAACAGAAAAGTCGAGTCACCTCTGGGAGATGCTTTTGTCTCTGCTGGAAGGGAGGGAGAGGGGGCAGCTTGCTCGGATGAGACGCCTTGTCTTCAGTCAGCTCAAATTAAGGGAGATGAATCTGCCTGAGTAAATCGCTGCTCCAGTTTGAAATCCACCATAGGGCTGGCACAGCGGGAGTGCGGCGCTTGGACAGAATCCAGGGGCCCGCTTGGATGGTGATAATCAGGGAGTTTAAATCGGGGGTTTTTTAGGGGGTGGAGGACAGATTTAGCTTTCTGAAACACTTGAATGGTTTAAAACATTTACCCTTATTCTGCTCTACGCTTAAAACGTATGAACATCGGCGATGCTTCCACAGGCTGAAACTTTGGGTAGGCAGTCCTGTCTTGCGGTGTGAAAGGTTTTCGTAGAGGAACCCAGCAGCTGTGCACTTACGACCACAATCCGTTTTTCATCCACATTCAAGACAATTTTTCAAAAAAACGCAGCCCAACTAAATCCAATTCATAAAGAAAAGAGCAATTTGTTTTGGATTACAATTGAATACACATTATAAACACAGAGCCGCATCACCCAGTAAAGTCTTTTCCATCACCGCTGAGCTGCACGCGGACGCTCCAGTTCCTCTTAAAGAGGAGCTGATGTGCATTACAGGGCCTGAACGCCCACCTCCAGCCCCAGGAGCATCCATCGAACACACGGGAGATGCTTCCAGTGCACTGTGAATGCAAGAAGGCAGCTCTATGCATGAGCAGAGGCCTGGCCCGTCCATCCCTGTGCTTCTGACAGCTTCGATGTTGCAAGAGGATGGGGCAGGAGGACGCATTTTAGGGGCAAGATGGGGGCTGCCCAGTCAGGTATTAGGCAGAGGATGGCAGCTTTGCCCAGCGCAGCTTGCAGAGAATAACAAAGTGTATTGAGAGGAGCTGTGTATCTGTACATAAGGAAGAGACATTTTTGTCCCTGGTGAGGACCAGTAAGTGTGAGCTGGAACCACTCACATAAGCTCGCCGTGATGTCTGGGCTTGACTTTCTCTTCCAGTTTAGCCAAGTGTGATTTTATTAAAACACGTTTAGTCCTGATGAGCAACCTTTTCACACCGACTTGCTACTGAGCACATTTCCCCCCTGTGCCTTGCCAAAGCACATCCCACCAGGCCTGAACACACCGCCCTGTCCTGCTGCTGGAGATGCTGCACCAGAGGGCAGGAGAAGGCTTTTCCACCTGTGTCCTGGAGGGAGTGCTCTGAGCCAGCTCCTGCTGCGCTGGGGCCGTGCACTCTGCGACTGAGAAAACTCATTGCCATCGGCTTTCATGCCTACCCTGCAACCTGAAAAAACAGACAACCAAACTCTGCACTGAGGTGAAAAACAAACCTCACCCCGCTCACATCGCCTATCTTGGTTACCCATCATTTTTACCGTTCCTTCTCGCTAAAGAATTACAAGAATCGCATCACCCAGAGAAAAGTGTGTAGGTTAAGCAGGCTTATTTTTTACTGTGTCCTTTTCCAAGCATTTAAAACCACTGTGGTTTTGTGACAGATGCTCCCTTAATAGCCTTATGATGGGCCCTGGATGGATGAATGGGGCTTCATTTGAAATCAGATCCTCTGCTGTGACGGCCGAAGCCACGATCACTCATCTATTCACAACTGGTGTCAACTCCTGTTATTTAAGAGACAGCTGCATTTCTTCACATGTCCCCGCAGACCAAGGCAGCTCTGCAGAGCCGTTGTTCAGAGACCTAGGCTCTCCTCTGGCCACAGGGGCAAAATACTTCAAGGTGACCATAAAAAGTGGAGGTGTAAGAAAGAGAAGGATTTTCTGTCCCTCTTGTGGCTTTTTGCAGTACCCTAAAGACCCTTCTCACTTCCTCCATCTTCCTTTTCTGTATCTTCCTATGATTCAACTCTCCTCAATTTAATGTTCCTTAATAATTATTCTTGCCTTTAAGATCCTCCTTTAATGCTGGGAGTGCAGCAAGTGAAGAAATCTACTGCAAACCGGTTAAAGGGCTCGGCATCACAGCAGCACAGCGACGGAGGAATCTGTTACTTGGAATTACTGCCTTCAACGTGTGATGATCTGCTTGTGAACAGCAGCATCCTTTAAACCCCGGGACTTCAGGGGGGTTTCATTCTTGCTACCGGCATGCACAGCCCACAGCTCTACCATGTAGCATTCCCCTAGGCTGTCTGACACCGAATTAGCTCCAGATTTGACCGGATCCTGCGTACATCCTGGCTCTGAGGCTTGGAAAGCTTCAGCTCCCTTTGCATCCTTGGCTGTGGTGCTGCTGCAGCCTCATCTGCCTGGCTCCACCCCTGTTACTCTGCGGGATCAGAGGTTTAGGGGAGCTGATGGAGCCTGCCAGCCTCTCGAGGGGGCAGAATTATAGCGACAGAGGGGGAAGAGCTGGGCAGGATCCATCCCACCTACCCTCTGGGCACCCCAGCTCTGATACCTGCCTGCCAACACACCTTCTGCCTTTTCTCTTGGCTCTCCTCATCGTTCTGTGTGTGTTTCTCAATGACTTAAATTCCTTCAGCTGCCTGGGTCTGCTTTTTGTCTGTTCCTGGTAGTCTCCATGAGGGCCAGCCATCAATTTATATGAAGATAGACAACATTTCAGTGCCGGTTTTGAGGCTGCATTCCAGAACTGTTTACTCCTCTGGCTGCTCTCCCCTGGAATTTTTCTCATCTCAGGCTACAGCAGACTGTTTTTTTCCCCTGGACTTGGCCACAGCTGAGCTGGACCCCAGCAGTGCCTGTGCCCCACGAAAGTCAGCTGGAGGAGTGCGGCATGGGAACATCCAGCTGCAGGGATGGGAAGCTCAGGCAGGCTGCTGCTTGGGTGCTGAGCTGATTTGAGCTGTGTTTTGATGCTGAGCTGATTTTACCTACTGCTTGCTGTCCTCGCTTCCTGCTGGAGGTATCTCTGAGACTTCACTGGAGTGCTGGTGCTCCCTGCCCATGCTGGTCCAGTGGGTGCGAGCCTGAGCTGGCAGAGGGTGGGATGTTCTGGGGGTGTCACCTCTTTGGGAATAGGGAAACCCAAATGGGGACAAATTGCTCCACGTGGCACTGGGTGACCGCACTCCTGGCATGCCCTTTGAACTGCAAATCTCAAGGCCAAACTGTTGCTGGAGATAATGAGTTGTCGCAGCCAACAGGCTTGATGACACATAATCCCCTCAGAAGCTGGCATCTGTTTAACCAGCAGAAATCAGAGCACTTTGGAGGCTGCAGAGCGAGTGCTCGGCTCTCCCCCTTCCACATCATCTCGGTTGCACGGTGCTGCCATCATTGCTCCTTCCACTTCCCAGCTCCGGGGTTTGCACGCTGGAGTGGAAGCATATCTGAAATGACACATCAGCTCTTATTTGCAGCCCGCCTTGCCCAGGGCTTGCAGGGGTTAACAAAAAAGCTGAGAAAAGGTTAGAAGGTTTTTGAGTACATGAGTAACCCTCTAGCATTTATACTCCTGAGCTGAGCAGCTCCATTACTGCTTATATCTTTTATCTCAAATGCTTTGTTTTGAAACAGATTGCAGGTTTCTGAGTCACTCAGTTTATCAGGCTCGGGGAGGTGAAGCCTGACTATATTACGCTGCTAAAAGCAAAATGCACAAGAAATGGCATTTCCCAAATACAGGGAGAGGAGCTCATCGAACTGAGGCTACAAAAGGCAGACACTCTAGAAGGACTACCTAAAATTAAATATCTCCACACAGTAATATTGAAAACAGGGAGTAAATGTAGTTCCTCGTGCCTTCATTTGCTGCTTCCAGCAGCCTGTGGCAGCAGCACCGTTGATGCTGGAGGTGCTGCAGGCAGAAAGGCCTGTTGTCCAAGTTACCCCATGGGAACAGAGGTCGACGTGCAGTGCGTGGACAGGGAGCCCTCCCCGGGCACTCTGCCACCACGGGAACCTTCTCCTGGGTTTGTCCTGCCTATGCTGATGGCTCCTCTGGCTGCCTCCTTGGACGGTGAAGTGCAGCTGAGGTGGCTGGCTGTGGTCAGAGCTGGATACCAGTGGGAAGGCTTACAGAGACCTACATTCACGTGTGTTGAGGTTAATGGGAATAAAATGGTTCAACGTCTGTTGGGGTTTTCTTGCCTCAGAGGTGATATCTTGGCAGTCTTTTTGCGCCTGAGGTGCTCACACCATGCTGAGGTTGAGCTCATGTCTTCAGTGCTTGAGAAACAGCAGTGCAGTGGCAGCCACAGCCTGGGTCTTGGTCTGGTTTGCAGGCAGGGGAGTGGGAACTTCAGGAGAGCAAGCCTGGAGGCAGCAGCATCTTCCCAGTTGCTCCCCCTTCCTCCCAGTCCTGGCCTCTGTCCACATCTCCTCCAACAAGGAAAGGCCGTGTGTGGGATACCCCAGCCTCGTCTCGTTGGCTTGCGTTGTATTTGATGGAAAAAGCAGATCCCCATTTGTCAACAGACGCAGCTGAGTCACCGCTGGGTTATTTTCTACTCCGTGTACAGAGGCACTCGAGGGTCAGCTCCAACATCGAGTCCTGGCAAATGCTGAGTTTTTAATCAAGGTTGTGATGAGCAGGAGTCAG